CCTTCTTTTGATAATAAAAAATGTTAAACTCTTAAATGTAATTCAAAACAATTATTAATAGTTTAATGCAATTTTTATTGATAATCTAATGAAATTTATTTGATGATAACATAAATATAATCACAAATTAAAAGTCATAATCATAGCATTCAATATGATTATAACACTCTTTATGGTCGTAGACGAATAAACAGTAAACCTACTTGTTATATGTAATGTCCTATTAGCATATTGGTGAAAACCTAACACAAAAACAAAATTTAAAATTTCATCTTCGTTTTTTGGATCAAACGAGGTTTTGAAGAAGATATTTTACGTTTTCTTCCATGATTTGTTTCATGAACCCAGATTATCGAAAAAGTGAATATTTAAGATTTTCAACTACATGTAATCGCCAATTTTACATCCCTTGATTGAAATTATTCAATTTAAATATATTATTCTAGGATTAAGAAACAACCCACATAGATTCGAATGTGTACGAACTCCGATTTTCAAAAAATAAAAAATAAAAATCGCACATGGTGCGTAGATCGAGGCATGTATTCATTTTCCACCCGAAGCGTGAGTTAATTTAAGAGACATAGATCATGAATTTGTTGTTAATTTCATCCATTAATGAAGAAACTTGAAGAACAATGAAGAACTACGAAGAATAATTTTTTTATTTTGATTTATTTAATTTAATCTTATTTTAGGATTTAACTAATAATTGATTTTAAGTAAATAATTTCAAATATTAAAAAAGTAATTTCGGAAATCAATAAATATTTTTTGGAAAAATGAAAAAGAATTAAAAATGGAAAATTCTAAAAATAAGGTTTGACCAAGATTTTAAGAAAAAGCAAAAATTAGCCAATCATAATTAACTATATTCATGGTCATAGTGAGAGTGACCATACTAGAACTTTTAAATATAGAGTCATGATTTATGATCAAGTATCAAGTCAGGGGTTTGGGTCGGGCCATTTCGAGTTAGGTTCATGCAAGTCAATAGGTCAGTGAAGTGAAGTTTTTATCGAATTATTTCAAGTTGGGGTATTTTGAACCAGGTCACTTCAGGTCGGGTTAATTTTGATGTCAAAATATCGGTTATCGTTCAAGTTGAGTCAAGTTTGGATCATTCCATAATCAAGATTGCAAGATAAACATCGACATTTGTAGGATTTTTTTTTGTTTTATTTTTTGTTAATAATAAGTAGTGCTACATCTCTTATATTTGGTTGCCAAACATAACTGCTTGTGTTACTAAACAATCTGCTTGTGTTATTAAAAGTTAAAGTGTTAATATTATCGGGATTTTTTTGTCATTTTCGCCAACCTTTTATCTTTTTCAGCCATTGTCGAGGTCATTCGACTCTCCATTTTTTTACTAACGAATACAACTTTGATCACTTTTGTTACTTTAATAATTATTGTATTTCTACACAATTTCAAATTTAATAAAAAACGGGAAGAAGAAGAAGAAGCAGTTGACCAATTTCAACAGTTCAATAGATCATTTTGATTGCAAATAATTACACTAGTTTCCACAATGTCGTTCTCTTACTCTCACCTATCTCTTTTTCTTTTTCTATTTTTTTTTGTCTGCTCTGAACTTTGGTTCTGTTATTCATCATTCACCATATTCATCAACCCCATTAAACAATACAACACTACTACGTAATTACACCATATTCATCAACCCCATTAAACAATACTGCACTAATACATAATTGCAAATAATTACACAAGTTTACATTGTTAATTAAAACTTGAAATTCTTAATTATCTCGGGAGGTTTAATTTGTCCAGTTAAATTCGATAAATTTATCCAATTACATCGATTAATCTGACTTGAGGATGTATATTCAACATTCTATAACGATAATGAAGCAGTTTCAAAAAAAAAATCATCTTCCATGGTCGCCCTTTTGTTAATTCTCTGAAACGCTGTTCAGAAAGAAATAAACAGTTTTTTTAAAAAAAAATAAAAATAAAAATAAAAATACTACCTCCGTTACAGGTTATATGCAACGATTTGACATAAAGCAGATAGGAAAAATGTCTAATCGTTGCACATAACCTGTAACGAAGGTAGTATAATAAATTACGGAAAACTATTCAATGGCTACATAAAAATTATGGCCACTATAAGCTTTTGATCTAAACCCTTCATTTTTTTAGAGGAGATCTTATCCATTCATTTATCAAATCAAATCATAATTTTTTAAATTTAAAAAAAATAAATAAAATAAAATAAACTAACTGCTTTTACCAGGCAAGCCGGAATGGCCCTATTATCTCTCACCTCCTTTTTGCAGATGATAGTCTCCTTTTTGCTAGAGCGAATCGATGGGAGTGCGAAGAAATAGTTGATATTCTCAACAAGTATGAAGTAGCATCCGAGCAGAAAATTAATTATGAAAAGTCGGAAGTATCTTTTAGCAAAGGTGTGAGACAAGGGCAAAGAGAAGAGTTAATGGGGGTTCTACATATGCGACAAGTAGATAGACATGAGAAGTACCTTGGTATTCCCACAGTGGTTAGATGATCGAAGAAGGTAAATTTTGCAGCCCTGTTGAATAGGATATGGAAAAAGCTCTAAGGGTGGAAAGAAAAGCTTCTCTCTCGTGCCGGGAAAGAAGTTCTTTTGAAGTCTGTGATTCAAGATATCCCGACATATTTAATGGGAGTGTATGAGTTTCCGTGCTTGGTTATAGAGAAGATAAGGAGTGCAATGGCTAGATTTTTTTGGGGCCAAACCGGGTCGAGGAGGAAAGTTCATTGGAGGAGTTGGGCGGATATGTGTACTCCAAAGTGTACTGTTTAGGTGGTATGGGCTTTTGAGATTTAAGTGTCTTTAATGATGCTCTTTTCGGAAGGCGAGCTTGGCGCCTTGTGACTAATGAGGATTCTCTTCTTGGTAGAGTGATGAAAGCCAAGTACATCCCACATTCTAATTTCCTTGAGGCCTCTTTGGGATATGCGGGAAGTTACTCTTGGCAGAGTGTTTGGAGTGCGAAATCACTTGTTAAAGAAGGGGCGATATGGCGTATTGGGAATGGGAAAGCAGTGAACATTTGGAGCGACCCTTGGGAGGCGGATGAGCATGGACGTTTTATTACAACTGAACCCTGTGATGGACTGAACCAGGTTAGTGACCTCATTGATTTTGACAAGGTGGAATGGGACGTGGATTTAATTCCTGCTCACTTTAATGAGAGAGATCAAAAATGTATTCTTTCAATTCCTTTGTGTTTGAGAGAGCCAAGGGATATGTTGACGTGGGCTTTCTCAAATAATGGTTTATATTCCACCAAAACTGCATATATGCTGGGAAAAGGTTGCAATTTTGATGATTTCCATCATGTTTAGAGGATAATATGCGAATTAGAAGTCTCACCAAAGGTTAGGCACTTCTTGTGGCGCCTATGCACTGGAACGCTACCCACCAAAGGCCTGCTTGTGGCGCACCATCTGATAGAGGAAAATGTGTGTCCGTGGTGCATAACAGAGGTGGAGACTAGCTCTCACATCCTTTTTGAATGTTGGAAGGTGAAAGAACTTTGGGAAGACAGCGGTTGTATGGCTTTACTGAGCAATGGGGTGGATGACATTTGGGAGCTACTAGTGAGTTGGGACAAGGCTGAGCTGAAGGTTAAACAAAGGGCCTGCTTTCTTGCGTGGTGTATCTAGAGCGAGAGGAATCTGAAGGTGTTTGAAGGTAAATTTACTCCAAATGTTATCCTCTTGGCTCGGGTTAATAGGAATGTGGAAAAGTATGGGCAATATAGCCAGAAGATTTATTCTCTTCCAACCCCAAAATCATAGTGCAGTAGTAAACGCTGGTTAGCTCCTCCTTCTGGAGTGATTAAGCTGAACGTGGATGCTTCCCTTGCCGATGAAGGGTAGGTCAAATTAGGGGTTTTGGCGAGAGATGGTGAAGGTGTGGTTCTGTTTGCTGATGTCCACAAGGTGAGAGCTTGGTGGCCACCAGAAGTTGCAGAGGCGAAAGCTTTATGCTTGGGAGTAAGGCTCTCAAAGAAGTATGGCTACAGGGATATTATCTTCGAATCAGACTGCTTGGTTGTGGTGAATAGGCTGTCCAAAGGAGCTGTGTATTTTTCAGACCGTGATGGGGTACTATAAGACATTTTATTTCTTTGCAGTTGTTTTAATTCGGTTTTTTGGGTTCATGTTAAGAGAGATGGCAACAATGTTGCTCATCATTTAGCTAGAGTAAGGCCTTTCGGTGTAGAGCAAGTTTGGGAGAATTGTTGTCCCCTGAAGATTTCTTCGTATGTACTCTCGGACGCTTTGTCCATTTCTTAATAATTACACCGATTAAAAAGTAATATCATTTAAAATAAATTTTGAAACTTATTACTAATTCTCTTTCTCTCTCTAAAAACTCTCTCATGCGTAGGGCGATTAACTATCATGTGCTGAGTTTCAATGGCGAGGAAGAAGAAATCATCTCTAAATAATTCGTCTATGGAGAAAGCGGCTGGAGTGGTGGAAGGTAATAGTTCTGTTTCTTTGGGTGGTAGTAGGACTCCATTATCGGGATCGGGTGCTGGATTGAATAATGGATCTGGATTGAATAGTGGATCTGAGTTGGTTCTTTCTCCGCTGGTTCACCTTAGTGCTGGATTGATAACCCGATCTGAGCATGAGATTATACTTGAAGGTAATCGGGTTTTGGGTATTCCGGATATTGGCAATGGAACAGTAAATTCTGGGTTTCGGGGAAATGATGCAATTCCAGTTGTTGTGGATGAATCTCATGAGCTTGATGTTATGGGTGTAGTGATGCAGGAATATGCGAATCCATCATTGGGGGGAATTACTGGAGGAAATTCTTCTGCTCATAGACGTCTTGATATGAATGGACAAAAGTGGGCTAGTTTTTTTCATAGGTCTCCTTTAACTAGAAACGGAGTAGCTCTACAGTTTGTTGCTCTAGTTGTTAAAGAGGCAAAGTGGTTGCTCAGATGCAGAAAGCGGAAATTGATGCGATGAGTAAGAAGTGGATGTCCTCTATTATCATGTATGTTGTTGGTGACACTCCTACACTTACTGCTGTGAAGAGGTATGTGGATTCAGTTTGGAATCAGGTTCAAACACCTAATATTTTTCTGCATGATGATGGTTATTTTTTGGTTCATTTTCATTCTATTGAGGATAGAGATTTGGTGTTAGCTGGGGGTCCTTATACTTTTCTTAACAAACCTGTAATAATTAAGCCATGGTCTACTGGTTTTAATTTCTATGAGGAGATCTTAAAAGTTATTCCTCTTTGGATTAAACTTCCTAATCTCCCTCTTAATTTCTGGAGTGCTGATTCTCTAATTCGGATAGCAAGTATCCTGGGTGTTCCTCTTTTTGCGGATGATTGCACTACCAGGCAGCAAAGAGTGTCTTTTGCTCGTGTTCTTGTGGAAATGGATGTTACTATGACTCTTCCGGATCATGTTTGGATAGAGGATGAATTAGGGGTGGAATTTAAGCAGGCGATTGTGTATGATTGGAAACCCTCTTATTGTGCTAAATGCTCTATGCCAGGTCATGATTGTTCATTTCTTGGTAAACCTGTTCAGAAACCTGTCACTAAACAGCCTACTAAACAAATCTGGGTGCCTAAGAAGCAGCAACAGGGGCAGAAACCTGTTCCTGCCCAGGTAGCTACTCCAGAGCATCAGACTCTTGCTGTTACTCAATCTGGTGCGGATTTTGGTTGGCGAGTTGCTACTAAGAAATCAAAAAATAGGGGAGTTCCTGTAAGCACTTCTAATGTGTTTGATCAGTTACCAAAGATAGATATGCAGCCTATTGATGTGGGAAATGATGTTGCACAGGAGGAAGAATTGGAGGATATAGTTGACCAGGATGATCCTGGTGACCCCCCCGACACTTGATGATAAGCTTATGCACTTGGAATATTAGGGGGTTAAATGATCCCTCTAAGATTAGTGAGGTAAAGAAGTTGGTTGTTGCTAATAATATTAAGGTTATAGCTCTTCTTGAAACTAGAGTTAAACCTAAAAATAAAGAGAAAGTTATGAAGAAATTAGGCAGACATTGGAGTTGGGAAACTAATTATTCTTTTTGTGATAGAGGCAGGATTTGGTTGGGTTGGCAATCTAGTAGTATTGGAGTTACTATTCTTTTTGTTTCTGAGCAGGTGATCCATTGCGAGATTGTGGATAATGTACATAACAATACCTATTTCTTTTCTGCTGTCTATGGTTTACCCACAATTGATACTAGGAAACAACTTTGGATTGACTTAAGGAATATTCAGAACATGATAGGTGTAGTTCCTTGGCTGATTTCAGGTGGTTTTAACTCTATGCTCCATATTTCTGATAGAATTAACGGAGCTGTTGTTTCTATGGCTGAAATTAAGGATTTTGCTGAGTGTATTTCTGACTGTAATCTTTCTGAATTGAAAAGTGCTGGTCACTTCTTCTCTTGGCACAAGGGAGGTGTGATGACTATCACTGCTAGTAGAATTGACTGGTGTTTTGGTAATAGTAATTGGATGCTAGATAAAGGTGATGTTGTTGCTGATTATTTAATTAAACCCGTCTATCTCTGATCATAGTCCAATTTTGGTTACTCTTTCTGCTGATTCTCATGGTGGTGGTAGACCCTTCAGATTTTTCAATTATCTTGTCCATCATAAAGATTTCTTACCTCTCATTGAAGACTGCTGGAAGAAGGATGTTCAGGGGACTGCTATGTTCACTCTCTGGTCTAAGCTGAAAAAGGTGAAAGTGGTGCTTAAAACTTTACATTCTGAAGAGTTCAAGAGCATTCATGATAAAATCGATAATGCTAGAACAAAGCTTGCTAATGTTCAGAATAAGTTATAGGTTGATATTCATGACTCTGAGCTTTGGCAGATGGAACATCAGTGTATTGGTGATCTTAAGAAGTGGTTTAAAGTTGAAGAAACTGCTCTGAGATAGAAGTCTAGGATTCAATGGCTGCATATTGGTGACTCAAATCACAAATTCTTTTATTCTTCAGTCAAGGAGAGACATAGGATAAATCGAATTTCTCTTTTGTATAATGATCTAAATGAGAAACTTGTTTCTCATGATGATATTCAGCAAGAAATTTTGCAGTTTTATGGGAAGCTTCTTGGTTCTTGTGCTCCTCGGCTTCCAATGATTGATCTTTCTATTATGAGAAATGGTTCCAGATTGTCTGTTGCTTATAGAACTCTTCTCTGTCAACCTATTACATATACTGAAATTGAAGCAGCTTTGAAGGGAATTGATGATAGTAAAGCTCCGGGCTTAGATGGGCTAAATGTTGTATTTGTCAAGCATACTTGGTCTATTCTTAAGACTGACATTTGCAAGGCAGTCAAGGAATTCTTTGAGAGTAAGCATCTGTTGAGGCAGGTTAATATTACTTCAGTGACTCTGGTTCCTAAAGTTCCCAACCCTTCAAGAGTTAAGGACTTTAGGCCTATTGCATGTTGCACAATTATTTACAAAATCATTTCCAAAATTTTGACAACTAGAATGCAGCAAGTGGTTCATACAGTGGTAAGTGAATGTCAAGTTGGGTTTATCCCGGGAAGACATATTTCAGATAACATTCTTTTATCCACTGAGCTTTTTAAGGGCTATACTAGAAAGCATATTTCTCCTAGATGTATGATTAAGGTAGACCTTAAAAAAGCATATGATTTTGTTGAATGGGGCTTCCTGAGGAGTGTTATGCAAGAATGGGCTTCCTTGAGCTTTTTTTGGAGTGGATTTTTGCTTGTTTGAGCTCTGTTTCTTATAGTATTCTTATTAATGGGAAACCTAGTCCCCCTTTTTTAGCAAAAAAAGGATTAAGACAAGGCGATCCTCTTTCTCCTTATCTCTTTGCCATAGGTATGGAGTATCTCTCAAGGAACATGACTCATCTAAAGAGCAATCCCGATTTCAATTTTCATCCCAAGTGTGAAAAGCTTGGTATCACTCATCTAATGTTTGCAGACGATCGTCTCATGTTTTGTAGAGCTGACTGTATTTCTGCTGAGCTGCTTCTGCTTGCTTTTAAAAAAATTTCTTGCTCTTCTAGTCTTGAGGCTAATTTGGACAAAAGCAATGTTTATATTGGAGGTGTTGACCTGTCTATTCAGCAGCAAATTATTGATAGCCTTCAGATTCCTAAAGGTTCATTTCCTTTTAGGTATCTTGGGGTTCCTCTTGCCACCAAGAAACTTTCCTATGCTGATTGTAAGCCCCTCATTGATAAGGTTCTCTTAAGAGCCAAATCTTGGACTGCTATATTCTTATCCTATGTTGGAAGACTTCAACCAGTAAAAGTAATTTTGTTGAGTCTTCAATCGTTTTGGTGTCAAATCTTTATTATCCCTAAAAAGGCTATTAAAGAAATTCAAAGATACTGCAGGATCTTTCTATGGACTGGTAGCACTGATGCCTCAAAGAAGGCCTTAGTTTCCTAGCATCAGCTCTGCTTGCCAAAGGTTGCTGGGGGTTGGAATGTGAAGGATATGGAGCTCTGGAATAAAGTTGTTGTGTGTAAGCTCTTATGGGCTATTTCATGCAAAAAAGATAAGCTCTGGGTTAGGTGGGTTGATGCTTATTATATCAGAGGCAGGAATTTAGATGATGTGCATTGTCAAGCTATGTCTTGGGCTTTGAAGAAAATTTTTGACTACATGAATCTGATCAAGAATGCTGGTGGCTGGGACAGTTTTATCAAAGGGGGTTGCTTTTCTATTAAGACTATGTATAAGTTTCTCCATGGTATTCATGATAAAGTCAGCTGGAGCAGGGTGATTTGCAATAATCAGGCTTCTCCACGAAGTTTATTTATTGCTTGGCTGGCTATTTGTAACAGACTGCCTACCCTAGATAGACTCTCTGCTTGGGGAATTACTTCTGATACTATGTGCAAGTTGTGTGGTAATGTTGCTGAGTCTATAGATCATTTGTTCTTCAAATGTACTTTTTCTGCTCAGATTTGGGGTGCTGTGCTTCAGATTTTGCATTGCCAGAGAAATCCTGGCTCCTTTGATTCAGAGTTGCTTTGGGCTACCAAGTGTGGTAAGAAAGGGACTCCTAAACATAAGTTGTTCTTAATGTTTTTTGCTGAGATCATTTATGCGATTTGGATCCAGAGGAATGAAGTGGTTTTTAATCAATATCATAGGTCTGCTGATGCATTGATGAGAGAAATTTCCTTTAAAGTAGCTTCCAGATGTAATGATAGGCAATGTGAGATCCTTATTGTAAAGTGAGTTTGTCGGCTTCTTTGTTGGTGTTTTGGCTGCTAGCTTTTGCTAGTTTTTGGTGTATTCCTGTTCTCTTGGTGATTAATAAAATTTTTAATTGCCAAAAAAAAAAAATTCCCTCAAAATAAAAAACTGCTTTTACCCTTTTATTTAAAAAAAATAAAACATTGACGACATATTTAATAATTGCTTCTCCATTGATGGGAGGTTGAAAATTAATTTTAATTCATACACACTAATACACTACATAGCCATTAAAAATTCAGATTGTACGATCAAGCAGCGTTAGGTTGATTCATAGTAGCATTATTATAAGATTACAAAAATTAGAAGAATGGTATAGAGGAGAATCAGATATGATCAATGGTGGAATTTGACATATTTAAACATTTTAATTTCTTCTATGTATGGTATGGGCTTTGAAGATAATATCATCAATTCATGGTAAACAATGGAGTAGTATGAAAATCGTGAGTCTAGGGTGAAAGAGGATGATAAATAGATAATGCAGTATTTAATTAAAAGGTTAAATAAAATTACTTTTCAGTCAACCCAATAATCAATGTGAAGGATGTGGAACTATTATTGACGGATGTACAATCATGATTTAATAGTTATGGTGACCACAAAATTATTATAGTCATTGCAAAATTGTCCATAAATTACTAGCTTTGAAAATTGTTATGAAATATTTGTGGATATCCATTATTCCGGAACAATCTAGAACTAGGGTTTACATTCTTATCCAATTAAACCCTAATATATTGTATGTATATATACACCTTATCATATGGAATAATATACACAGATTAATTATCTCTCAATCTCTCATGTTTCCCCATTATTTCACAATACGTTATCAGCACCATAGATCTCTCTCAAAGTGACAAATTGAATGGAATATAAATCCAAATTTTGCGATTTGCATCTTGCGTGCAATTATGTTACTTGAATTATAGTTTTGTTTAATTTCAAAATTCACAACAAGATTAATGGTTGGACCATATTCTTGTTGGAATTACATGATCTGTGTTGGACCATATTCCTTTAATGGAATTAAGTGGGTTGTTGTCTCCTCGTGGCGTATGTGAGATGTGACTAATCTAGAAAGTGAACATATTAAGAATAGAGAATCCTCAATTGCTACAACGAGATCCGTATCAGGAAAGTTTTTCATCTACTTATTATTTTCGTAACCACATTGTATATATTGTATATGTTAATTATGTTACGAAAGTTTAGTATTTTATTCGTTGTTTTGTTTTGCAATGTCGAAATTAAATTAGTACTCCTAAATGCTTGCCACATAAACTGTCGAATAATATACCCATATCTGTGAAACAAGTTTGGCATGACACTAATTGGTTTAATATTGTTTGACTTGTTATATATATGTAGTATGTTGTAGAGTATTATCTATAGTGCTTATAAGACAAATTCTCATCACTCTATTATCCCCTAATAATGGTGGTTTTGGTTAAGACTTCATTCATAATTTATGATGGGAATATTATATATATTTTTTGATGGAGTAAAGTACTTGTTTGATTTTTCCTCGTTAATTGCACCACGACAAATTATTTCCGATTAGAATAAAATTATTCTTGAACATATAATCTAAGTGATTTGATAAATTTCTTTTATGTACCCGATTGAATTGTGTTAATCTACTATGAGAATCAGGTCCGTTTTAAATGAGTATTATACTATTATCACATGTTTAGCATCATGGATACAATTATGTGAAGTTATATATCGTTTGATTTGATTTGCAAAATATTCAATAGCATGAATCTTTTTACGTATTATATGATTTTGTAATGAATTGTTTATTAATTATGGATCACCAAAGCTCTAAGCACCAATCAAATTACTGTTAAAATTAAGCTAAGAAAAGTCGATTAAAATCTAGTATGCGATTAGTGTATTAGCGGTGTTGGTTGAGTTTTGACAGGAGGCATCATGAAGTCATTATGTTTAACAGGGAAGTTCCTTATTTCATTTATTATATTGAATTTTATTTTCACAAAATATACAAGTACTTATTATGGCCTTTTAATACATGTTACTTCGTATATATTTATGACGTACTCCGTATTGTTTTGTTATGTTATGTGGGGTTTGATAATTTGATTATGGGTTTGACCGTATGATTATAATTAAAAGTTAGTAACTCACCTTGGTGAGTGTGTTCTATGATAGCTTATTTGTTTGTGGTACTTGTTGATTTACAGTTCCTTTGATTCTTCTAATACTTATTTAACTACATCAACTATATGTCTCCCCATTGATGTTGAGTTATTGATCTTCTGAAGAGAACAAATTATGAAAAATAGATCTAATAATAACTACATACATATGGGTTAGAAACCTTCTGGAACAATCTAAAAATGTCTAATGGTTTTGAAAGTATGTTGACTGGATTATTCTCCGTTCACAAAACTAATGTGTTCCTATATATGTCATGAAATCTCTTGATTATTGAAGAATTAACAAGTATATATTTTATATATATATAAAAAATTCATGGTAAAGTTCATAATTATTTGAGCAAAGAATAGTGTTATGAGTTCAAGAAATTAATTAAACATGCTATTTTGAGCAAATTACTTGAAGAATGTTTTATGCCCATAGTTTACCGAATTTTCAACATAAAGATGAATATAATTGGGCAGGAGAAACAAGTAAGAGTTTTGTAAGAATATTTTTCTTTGCTTGATACATGACATTACCAAAAGGATTTATGGTTTGAGTGCAAGGGATTTCAAGGTTGTTGGATAATTAAGATTTATTTCATATCCCCATATGCAAGGATTAGGGGGAGATATTATTCATTTCGTTATTATATATAATCCTTGCACATGAATTGTATGATATATTGATGGTCAGTATTGCATACATTTGCTTTAATATGAATGTCAATAATTTATTTAATAAAAGCGACCACACCATCCTGAAGATGGATGTAAATAAATGAATGTCATTGATCATTACTCGTTGTAAATGCTCCAATTAAAATTATTGTCCCAGAAGGACAACATCGGTTAATAATGAAACCTAAAGCACGTCTGAAGCATTGTAGTCCAATAGATTAAAAATAAATAAATAAATAAATAAATAAATAAGAACCTTCAGAAAAGGAATGGAGCAACTATTGACAATGACAAATTTGAGGAAAAGATAAATCCCTTTACATTTCTAGAATAAAATTATTTTTAGTAAAATCAATATGTGAGATTAGTTGATTGTCTTGCTAATTGTATAAAGAAACACATGTTGGTGTTCTAATATTACATCACATTCATAGTCATGCATGAAGTAAATTTGATAAAATGATCAATAGTGTTGGAAAACTGACCAGAGTTCAAATTTAGAGAAGTGATTGGATGTGATAATTAAATTAGGCTATCAGGGTTTAAAAATTACCCGTTATGGAAACCTGAAGTTTCGTTTGATAATGTGCTGACGCTCTCTCAATGACAAATATATGAAATGAATTGAATAGCAAGGCATAACATTGAGATTGAGCTATATTTGGATTCTGATTCATATTAATTTGTATATATGAAAATTTCAAGGGTTAATAAGTTTTGATTTTTTTTATAAAAGAGTAATAGGTGACCAGAAGTTCACCAAAATATCGTATATATTATTGTAAACTATCAGAGAACTAGAAGCTCACCAAATACATTATTTAAGGCTTTAAAGATCCAGAAGATCACCAAATACATTATTTAAGGCTTTAAAGATCCAGAAGATCACCACCTAGTAGAATTACAAGCAAGTGATCTATGCTTGTATAACAATTCTTTTGATTGGGGCTATTATATGTCAGCACATAAGAAATTGGAAAATAATGGAAAACGTACAACTGCACAACACATGTCTCCCCATTGACATTGTTTTCCAGAAGATATTATGAAAAAGGTAATATATAATAAATACACCTGTAATGTAAAATTAACGAAGAAATGATTCTTCATTGAAGTTGTTCTCCAGAAGAGATGAAACTTGTTAAATACAAATCTTCTGAGAAATAAATTTTGATTGTGATCCTCCTAATGAAATGAATTTTATTGGAACTTTGTATACTAAGTTGGTGAAGAACTGTGATACCCCTACATATGAGATATTTTACCAACTTAGGGGGAGAATTGGAGTAAGTTGGCAAAAAAAAAAAATTTAAAAAAAAAACTGATGATCCCTATATAAATAATGGTAATTTGAAATGTTTTCTAGCCAAATTTCATCCATATGCTATCAAGATATGTTGCACATTTATGATTTGATTTGTATTCAGTTATGACTCATGTTGCATAGCGTTGAAGATACATTTTGGTCATATTAATTATGTGTATACATTGAGATAAAATCTTGCCAATTGTACTTGAATCACTACACCTGAAGTGTAGGTTGTATACGATCGGTTCCAACAAAATAAAGATATGTTTAATAGATATGATATTTGGCAAGATAGTGCAGTTGACACTAATAGTGTAATAGTATATACCATAGTGTATGAAATACCCTAAAAGTGGTATAAATATCTGAATTATTATAATAGATGGCCTATTATGTAAGAAAAGTTGTGATGGTACCAAATGAGAAATGTATTAAGATATCATAGTAAAATAGCATGCGGAATGTAAATTAAAGGAATTTTATGATACCGGTACATAATGGAACTGATGAATAATATGCATACGCATAATAGAATGGACTAATGAGTAAGGGATTTGAAATATATGTACATTTTGATGTCGACATAATGATAATGATCATAAGTTTATCATGGACCCGAAATCCAATAAAATATGGATTTTTAAATCCACACTGTACAGTGTCTTACATTATTTCGAGTCCTATGTATGTTCATATGCATGTGTGAGTCATAGGTTACTAGATTATTCATTGCATATGTTCGAAGTTGTTATATGCATTACTCATTGTATAATTTGTTTAATAGTTATCATGTTTTATATATCTCATATTGCATGGATTAATTT